ATCCCATCCCATCCCATCCCATCCCATCCCATCCCCATCCCCACCCCTTATGCACTGTGACTGCATTCTGGGGTCACCAGCACCATCAGGAGGCCCTGCAGCAGGACTGGCAGCAGCAGGCAGCTGAACACGGTGGGTGCCACAGGATGGAGTCGCAGTGGAGTGGGGTCACATCAGGGTGGGGTCACAGGGGCAGGGTGATGGGGGGAGGGGACAACCCCACCTTCTGTGGCTCCAGCAGGCTGACAGGCATGTTGCCCCCACTGAAGATCTCCCACAGGGTCGCCCCGAAGCTCCACTTGTCGGCTGGCAGCGCCAGGCTCTGGGGGTCACCCAGGCACTCGGGGGCCACCCAAGGGATGCGCTCCACCAGCACTGGAGAGAAGGGGTGGCCCTGCTCAGCACCACCAAGGTGGGGCACGCGGCTCCCCAGGGTCCATACAGCACTTACACTCCTTGGCCAGGACGGTGATGCTGACTCCAGGGTCGCTGAGTTTGATGAAGGGGGGGCTGCCGCTGGCCGCGTCCCCCTCCCGGGTCAGCAGCACCTTCTTAGCAGAAACGTTGCCGTGGGTGATTTTCTTGTCCTCCTGGGAGGGGACAGGGACCCTGAGCGGGGTGTGGGGGATCAGCGGGAGCGAAAGGACAGCAGCGCTTGGAGATGTGGGACAGGGATGGGTGGGAGCCACGGGGATGGGGACACGTGGGACACGGGGGGTTGGGGGCTACGGGAATACAGGTGCAAGAAGCGGTGGGGATAGAGCTGCGTGGGAGCGGGGGCACATCAGAGGACGGGGGGCGCTTTGTCCATCCACTCACCAAGTAGTTGAGAGCGTATCCCAGCTGCTTGGCCACCTGCAGCTTCCAGCTGGTCGTCACCTTGCCCTCGCTGTGGTTCTTTTTCAGGTAGAGGTCCAGGGGCCCGTGCCTGATGTACTCCTGCACCATGATGCCTGCGGGCAGGGGGCAGCAGGCCGGTCCCACGCGTGCACACAGCGGGTGGCAGCGTGGCACAGGGGACAAGGGACACTCACTGTCCTTGCCGAGGCTGACGCCGTGCAGCAGCACCAGGTGCTTGTGGGACAGCTGGCTCATGATGCTGGCGGCCTCCAGGAAGGACTGAGGGGGAGATGGGGTCAGGGGGCTGTGGGACGCAGGCGGGTTGGTGCCGAGGGGCCCCCCAGCTCACCTCGGAGCAGTTGCGGTGGCTGCTGTCCATCACCTTGAGCACCACGGGGGTCTGGTAGAACTCGTCATCCTTCTGGTCCCGCTTGATGCCCTTGTAGATGTGGGTGAAGGAACCCTGCCCCAGGCTCTCGCCCTGCCGTGGGATGGCATGTTGGGCTGGAAGGGTCCCCCCTGACCCCCGGCTCCCCCCACCCCATCCTGCTGTACCCGTATGAGGCTCTCAGGGTCGATCTTATGGAATGTGAGCTGGCTGGGGCTGCGGCGCGGGGCGGGGGGGGGAGCTGGGGGGCCGCGGGCGGCCGCTGCGCACGATCAGCAGGTTGGATTTCCCCCCGGGGGGGGGGGGGGCGGCATGTGAGGGGTGGCTGTGACGTCATAACACCCGCTCTGTGACGTCACACCGCTCGCTATGACGTCACAATGCTGCACCGTGACGTCACAATGCTCGTTCTTTGACATCACAACGCCCGCACTGTGACGTCACACAGCGCCTTTTACAACAACACACCTCATTTCACAACCCCCCACCCCCCCAAACCCCTTCTCTCATCGTGCCCCTATAGCCTATAGGTGTCACCTCGGGGCAGAGGTGGGCAGCACGTCTCCAGGCGCAGGTGAGCACCCTCAGCCTGCAGCCCGCAGCGCCCATAGGTGCCCAGCAGCTCCTGCAGGCTGCAGAAGCGCCTTGCCAGCCCTGTCAGCCAAAAGCTGCCATCCTCATCCCTGCGGATCAAGCAGCGTTTGAAGTCCTGCCCGGAGCGTGTCTGCGGGGAGAGAGCGAGCTCAGCACCGTGGGGTGCTGGGAAACACCAGTGGCATTGTCCCCTCTGTGCTGGGTTCTGTGCCACGTGGAGAGGACGTGGGGGGGGGGGTCTGTGTGGCACTGGGCCCCACCTCGGTGCACACGGTCAGCAGAAAGCTGTCGAAGTCCTGGGGGCTGCGGCGCAGCACGAACAGCCCTGGCTGGGCCCCCGCCGCCTTCAGCTTACGCACAGCAAACTCAGAGCTGCAACACAGCTGGGTGTGGGGAGGGGGATATGGCAGGGACACCCCACGGTGCGTCCCAGCGCTGCCCAAGCACGGTGGGCACTACAGCGTCACCCCTTGGGTGGGTGGATGGGGGTCCCCTCTCAATAATTCCCTTCCGCTTTGAGCCCCACAGCCTGGGGGGATGGGGCACACACACCTGATGGGCCCATGGCATTGGTTCTCCATGTCTTCCAGCAGCCGGGGGGGGGCCACCTCCTTGCAGAAGTAGTGGTGGGCATCTGCAGTCAGGCGGTAGTAACCATCCAGCAGGGCCACGAAGGAGAGAGCTTCCCGCAGCGTGGGGAACTCCACCTCCTGGGCGAGAGTGAGGTGAGCCCCCAGCACGCCATGACCCCCCTGGCACCCCCCAGGTCCCCCCCCCAGCTCACCAGCACCCTGTTGTCTGTCTTGGTGAGGGTGACGATGCGGTTCTCCACGGGGCCACCGTCACGGCTCGCCTGCTTGATGCTGACGTCGGCGATGTCGGGGAAGTCACAGAAGTGCTGGCGGCTCTGCAGGGACACCGGGGGCTGCTCTACGCGTGTCCCCCCAGCCCATGACCCCCCCCTCCCCTCCACTCATCCACTCTCAGACCCCCCCCCCTACCTGCACTGTGGCTGGACCACCCCATCCTCACCCTCTGGTGGGGGTTTCCGCACCTCAGATCCGCCGCAGCTCCAGGAGACCCCGCTGTCTGCAGACACGTGGATGGTGATGTCGGCGTCGGGGCCGCGCGCACGGAAGCTCTCCTCAGCCCAGCAGCGCCGCAGCCGTTCCAGGTCCAGCAGGTATTTCAGCTTCAGGCAGCGCCCATCCGCCCTGCAGCCCCCCATCCTGCGCAGGGACTGCGCGACGCGGCGGCGGATGCGCTTGCGAGTGAGGAAGCTGTGCTGTTGGATCTGACACCGCAGCGGCTCCGGGATGCAGGACTTGTAGCTGGGGGCGGGGGGAGGCAGGAGATGAGGCAGGAGGGGGGTAGGTGCCCCCCCGCCCCCCCCAGGTGAGGTCCCCGCTCACCTGACGCAGCTGAAGACCTGCTCGGGGCTCTGCCACTTCTCCTTGGCGATGCGCAGCATGTCCAGCACCGCCAGGCTCAGGCACTCCTCCTGCTCCGCCAGGCTCAGTGCCAGCTCCATGCGTCCCGCAATGAAGTCACTGCGAGACTGGGGACAGAGACACAGCTCGGGGTGGGGGCAAAGCCCCCTGCTCGCTGCAAGCCCTGGTTGTGCACCAGCCGTGCATCTCCTGAGCCCGGCTCCGTGCACGAGGCTGAGGCAGGAGCAGTGCATCCCCCCTACCCCATCATTCATGGCCAGCCCCCGGCTCCGTGCCCGTGTCTGGCACACCCCTGGGGCAGGGATGCACGGCTCACCTGGGCAAACAGGTAATCGATGACGGGGTAATCCAGCACGGGGCTGGGGCGGTCGCTGGGCAGCTGGAAGCGATGCGCCTGGCCCAGCCCACACCAATTGGGGAAGAAGAACCTGTTGGGGCAGGGTTGGCTGGGCTCAGTGCCCCGTCCCGCGCCGCACCGCCCCTATCAGCCAGCAGAGAGTCCCCACCTGATCCTATACACCACCACCTGGCTGCGGGCATCCTCCACTGTGAAGAGGTGGTTGGGGGGGTACCAGCAGCTGAGATCCTCCGTGGCCAAAGCGAAGAGAGGATGGCAGATGGGCAGCACGCCTGGTGGCAGAGGGACAGCGCCATCCTCGTGGCTGTGACCACGCCGGATGGGTGCACAGCCAGGGGATGGTGCTCACCGCAGGCCTTGGCAGCGCGCACACACAGCTCCTCGGCCGTGTATTCGCCGAAGGTGAAGGTGAGGATGGCGGTGGAGTCGGGGGCAGCATGGGGTGCCCGGTGGTAGAGGAACACCTGCAGCGTGCCGGGCTCCGAGGAGGACAGACTGCAGGAGTGCTCGCCGATCAGCGGCGTCTCCTCACCCAGCGGGGCCATGGCGGGAGCTGCAAGGACAGCAGTGCTCAGTGTGCTCCCTGTGCACCCCCTGGTGTGTCCCCAAGCGCGGTGCCCCGTGCTCTGAGACCCATAGGAAATGGGACCTTCCTTGCCGTGGGGTAAAACCCCACGCTGTCTCTGGGGCTCATTGCCCTGTGTTCATTTTGCAGATGGGGAAACAGGCACGCCGCTGTTTTTTAGGTGCTCTGCAGCAGCCAGCTCGGAGACACGCTTGTGCCCTGCATCACACCTGGCCTGGAGAGCACACGGCTCCATCCCTGTGCAGGAGGGTCGGCTGGAGCCCACAAACCCCCCCACGTCCCACAGTACCTGTGCTGTCCCGTGGCCTTGCTGGTGCTGTGCGTTCTGTCCTGGGTGGGGCTGCTGCACTTTTTGGGCTGCGTAGGTGGCTGCGAGTGTCAAAAAGTCCCCATGGTGACTTCCTTCCTGCCCGCAGCGTCTCTGAGCAGAGCGAACTTCCTGACCAGGGAGGGGGAACGGGGCAGGGGGCCCTAAGGAGCCACCCCAGGGGCAGAAGGCACCCCCTGCTCCGGGCATCCCCCTGCTCCCTGCCAGTGCTGTGGGTACAGCAGTGGTGGGCACCTCTCCACGTCCCACCCTGTCCCACCCTGCTCTCAGCCCAATGCTGCCCCATGCAGCCCTTGTTCCCCCCACGCTGCTCACAGCCTCCCAGGACTTCTGGGAGCTGCCCACCCCCTCTGGGTCCCTTTGGGAGCCCCATGCACCTGTGCCAACACTGTGTGGCCTGGTGGGTGTGTGTGGGGGGGAGGGGGCAGCAGCTTTTTCCCCCTTTTTGCTTCCCAAAGAAGCGAAGGCAGCAGAGAGGCAGGGATGGGGTGCTGCTCCATGGGGACAAGGCCACGATGCACCATCAGTGTGGACATACCCTGGGGACGAGGTACCGTGCGACACGCTGGAGCGCAAGGATGTGCCCTGTGGGGACAGCACATCCTTTGGCAGAGGGGACAGTCCCCAAGTTGCAGCTCTTCCTGGGTTGCAGCCCTATTTTTCAAGCATGGGGACCAACGTGTCCCGGGTGAAACAAAGCACCTCTTATACCTGGGAATGAGGAAGCAGGGCTGGCCCTCTTGTCACTGCACCCTGAGGGGAAGAGCCATGGCCCCATCCTTGCCTTCAGGCCTTGGACCCTGCAGGGGTGGGCGGCAGGGAAGGGGTTATCGCCGCGGCCCCACGCAGCTCTGCCTCCCTCCCCACGCCATAGCCTGCCTCCTCCCAGCCCCTCTGGCACTCTGCGCCCGCCGAGGTCGCGGCCGGATCCCTGCCAGCCCCTGGGGGAGCAGCTCGCAAAGGAGGTGCTTTTGCTGGGTAAAGGTTTCGGTTGGGTTTGTTTTGTCGCCGGCGGGAGATAAGTGGTGCTCAGCGCTCCGTGTTTGCGCTGGGTTTGGGGGATTACTGCGTCCCGGCCGTGTCCTTCGGCTGCTTCGCTCTGTGGTGCGACTGGGCAGCGCTGTGCGCCACGGATCGGGAGGTATTTGGGGTATCTGTGGTATTTGGGGTGCTCTCTGCGGCTGCTTCTTTGCACCCTTCCACTGGGATGAGCGCAGGGATGGCGATGCAGTGATGCTCCTCTCCATGCTCACTCATCCGCACCTTGCACCTCGATAACCACCCTGTGCTCTGTGTCTCGCTGCAGTGCCGCTGCCCCTGGACACACCGGGACCCCCTTCCCCTGTCCCACCTGCAGGTCCTTGTCCCTGTGTGCCCGGGGGGGGGGGGCCGTCCGCACACCACCACCATGCTGGCACCACCGGGCAGCCTGGAGGTGTGGGCATCGGAGCCCCTTACCTTCAGCCTCTGGGATTACGGCGTGTTCGGGCTGATGCTGCTCGTCTCCACGGGCATCGGGCTGTTCCACGGGCTGTCCAAGGGAGGCCAGAAGACCTCAGAGGACTTCTTCATGGGTGGCCGGCGCATGGCAGCAGTGCCAGTGGGGCTCTCGCTGTCGGCCAGCTTCATGTCAGCCATCCAGGTGCTGGGGGTGCCAGCTGAGGCGTACCGCTACGGCTCCAAGTTCCTCTGGATGTGCCTGGGGCAGCTGCTCAACACGCTGCTCACTGCATACCTCTTCTTGCCCGTCTTCTACCGCCTGGGGCTCACCAGCACCTATGAGGTAGGCATGGGGGTCTGCATCCCCCTGCGTTGCAGGCAGGGGATGGGATTCTCCCAGCCAAACCTGCACACTCCCTCTCTGTCCCCAGTACCTGGAGTGGAGGTTCGGACGGAGCGTGCGGCTCTGCGGGACGCTGCAGTACGTGATGGCTACGGTGAGTCCCAGGTTGGGGATGTAGGGATGGGGGTCCCCGCTGTGTTCAGCCCCTAAGAGCCCCCTTGTTCCCATGCACGTGCTTTTTCCGTGGCTCCAAAGCAAACACGGCCCTGTGGGATGGCTGTTTGGAATGGAGAGCCGAGTGTTTTTCCAGCGCCCGCAGCACCAGCACGTCACATCCCCCCCCTGTGGGCACCGGGCGCTGCTCTGACCCCCCACCCCATCCCCACAGACTCTGTACACAGGGATCGTCATCTATGCTCCTGCTCTGATCCTCAACCAAGGTACGGGGGGGGACATGTGGGACAGCATCCACACGTCCTCGTCCCCTCATCTCTACCCCGAGCACCGACGCTTATCACCATCATCTGCCCTTCAGTGACCGGTTTGGACATCTGGGCGTCCCTGCTCTCCACTGGCGCCATCTGCACCTTTTACACCACCATAGTGAGTGCACAGTGGGGGCTCCAGGGGGGTCCTGTGGGCTCTGGCTTCCCGGCGCTCACTGTGCTCCCGCTGGCGCAGGGCGGGATGAAGGCTGTCATCTGGACCGACGTCTTCCAGGTCTTCGTCATGCTCTCTGGGTTCCTTGCCGTCATCATCCGGGGGCTGCTGCTTGCGGGGGGCCCCACCAGGGCACTGGCCATCGCCACCAACGGCTCCAGGGTGAACTTCGGAGAGTGAGTCCCTGTATGCCCCCTCCTCCCCCCGATCCCCCCCCCAGGTGCTGCAATGCCCGCACTGCCCCTGCTCACTCTCTGCCCCCAGCTTTGACCTCGACCCACGGAGCCGTTACACCTTCTGGACCTTCCTGCTGGGCGGCACGCTGGTCTGGCTCTCCATGTACGGCGTGAACCAGGCTCAGGTCCAGCGCTACGTGGCCTGCAAGAGCGAGAAGGAGGCGAGGATGTGAGGCGAGGGGCAGCAGGGGGCACAAACCCCCGGCATGGGGGTGAGGGGTTGCACTGCAGGGCTGGGATGCGTGGAACCCTGGGAAGCCAGCCCCACCACCCTGCATGCATCCTGCACCTCTGCACAGACTCTGCACCCCTGCACGTCTCCTGCACCCTTGAACTCCCCCTGCAGCCTTGTGTGACCCCTGCCCAACCCCTGCAGCCCTGCTGAGCCTGGGGAGCCGTGCTTTGATCGCACCCTGTGCCCGCAGAGCGCTGCTGGTCAATCAAGTGGGGCTCTTCTGCATCGTCTCCAGCGCGGTGGCCTGTGGCCTTGTGATGTTTGTGCTCTACAAGGACTGTGACCCCCTCCTGGCCGGCCACATCTCGGCCCCCGACCAGGTACGGCTGCACCAGATCCGTCCTCTTGAGCACTCAGTTGAGAGCAGCCAGGAGGAACGGAGAGAAGGATGGGGACAGGGGTCCTGCTGCCCCCTGACACAGCTGTGCCCCCCAGTACATGCCCTACCTGGTCCTCGACATCTTCCAGACGTCCCCTGGGGTACCTGGATTGTTCCTGGCCTGTGCCTACAGCGGGACCCTGAGGTGAGGCAGCCTGGGGACCCCGACATCCCGAAGGAGGGGGTGGCTCTGTGCCGTCCCCACCCTCAGTTTGGCGTGGGGCTGAATGCCGTGCTCCCCCAGCACCGCCTCCACCAGCATCAACGCCATGGCAGCCGTCACTGTGGAGGACCTGGTGAAGCCCCGGCTGCCCACGCTGTCACCAAGGAGGCTGATGCTGATCTCCAAGGGGCTGTGTGAGTGAGGACGGGACTGCTGCACGGCCCTGATGCCACCCTGCCCTATGCCACGCTGTGCCACAACGTGCCACCACGCGCTGCACCGTGCCACTCCGTGCACCCCACCCTGTGCCACGCCATGCTGCTCTGTCCTGCACTGTGCCGTGCCGTGCAGCACTGCTGTGCCATGTCACAGCCCTCCCCCCCCGACCCCCCGTCCCCACAGCACCGTTCTATGGCATTGCTTGCATCACGGTGGCTGCGCTGGCCTCGCTGCTGGGCGGTGGTGTGCTGCAGGTGAGTCGTCCCCAGCCCCCCCTACCCCTCCTGCTCTGCACCCGCGCCCATCACACACGGCTGGGGGATGGAGAGCCCTCGAGGCACCTCAGGGTCCCCCTGCAGGGCTCCTTCACCGTCATGGGGGTCATCGGCGGCCCTCTGCTGGGAGCCTTCGTGCTGGGCATGTTCGTGCCGGCGTGCAACACAGCTGTGAGTGCTGGACGGGGGGGGGGGGGGGGGGGGGGGGGCTGGGGGTCCCAGTACCATGCTGACCCCACTGCTCGCCCAGGGTGTGTTTGGGGGTCTGGGTGTCGGCCTCGCGCTCTCGCTGTGGGTGGCAGTGGGTGGCAGCCTCTACCCGGCCCCTGCCGACATTGCTGGTGTCCTGCCTGCCTCCGGAGCTCACTGCCCGCTCTACAACCGCACCGCCAGCACCAACCACACGCTGCTGCTGGGACCACTGCCCCCCCGGCGCCCCGGCACAGAGCCTGCAAGGTGAGAAGGGACGGGTAGCAGGGATGGGGACGGGACACACCATTGCTCCTGTACGGTGGGCTGGGGGCTGCTCCCGGTGACATCACCACGCTGTCCTTCTTCGCTCTGATGTCACTCCGCTGTCGCTGACTGCTGTGACACCGCAGTGCTGCTTTGATCGCAGTGATGTCGCGCCGGTTTCCCTCTTCATCTGTCACAGCGCTGTCCTTGTCCTCTGGGACACCACACCGCTGTCCTTGCTCGTTGTGATGTCACACTGTCCTTTCCTTTGTCCGCTGTGACGTCACACTGCCTTTCTGATGGCGGCGACGTCACCACCAACACCCCCCCCACATACACACACCCTGCAGGCCTCCCATCGTGGGTGACTTCTATGCCATCTCCTATCTGTACTACGGGGCACTGGGGACGCTCTCCACTGTGCTGGCAGGAGTGCTGCTCAGCTACCTGGCAGGTGAGCCTGTGGGCACCGGGGGAACATTTAGAGTGGGGGGCTGCCCCACACTGCTCCCTCTCACCCTTCTGTTCCCCCCCCCCGCAGGGCCCACCAAGCGAGCACAGCTGCCCCCAGGTGTGCTTTGGTGGGACATCACCAAGCAGACATCCTCTGTGTCCCCAGCTGGGGGTGCGGCGCCTTCAGGGGGGTGTCCCACCAAGGTAACACCCCTCAGATCCCCCCCACCACTCCCAAAACACCCCTCCCAACTTCTGCTCACATGTTCCCTCTCCGCAGGTCTGCAGAGACCCTCAGGGGGGGCCGTGTCCCGAAGCCCCCCCGGTGCTGCTGGGGCTGGGAGGGCAGGCACGAAGCCCCCCCCCAGCACCGCGGGGTCACCGAGCAGCTGCTGCAGGAAAGCCACGTGTAGGGACACGGCCACGGCAGAGGGGGGACATGGGGGAGGGGCACGGGCACCGATGTCCACCCGCTGTGTCGGTGTCGCCCCTCCAGGAGGGGACAATAAATGAGGCGGGGTCTCCATGGGACACAGCTATCTGTGTGTCACTGTGTGGGAGTGGGGACTGGGGGGGGGGGGCGGGCGTGGTTTGGGAGGGGGCACAATGAGGAGGTCCATGCTGGGTCGAGGAGGGGGCGTGGCCACGACCGACCCCGCCCACCGGGACCAACGGGTCACGCCCCGTTAGGCCCCGCCCCGAATGGGTGTCAGCGCCCGATAGGCCACGCCCACATAGCCACACACCCCCGCCGCCATCTTCGGGTGTTGGCACCACGCCGCCATCTTTATGCCGGGCACGAGGGTGGACGGAGCGGTGGGAGTCGAGCGGCTTTCTCGCGGTTCTCTCCCCGAGATGCGAGCGGGGATGAGGATGCGGTTACGGATACGGGCTGCATCCCTCTCATCACCGTTCCTCCGCCGTTCTCCCGGAGCCGTGCCCGTACCGTGCCCTCAACAAAGATGGCGGCAGGAGCGCTGCGAGGCCGCGGGCGTCGCTTCCCCTCACCCTGCGGGACGCGCCGCGCGGAGTGATGACGCACAAAGAGCGCGACGGGCGGAGCGGCGGAGCCGGGTAGGAACGGGACGAGCGGGATCGGGGCGGCTGGGAGCTCGGGAAGGGGGTCGGGATCCCCGCGGGGATGAGATCCGGCCCGAAGCGCTGCTCCGCGAGCCGCCGGATCTCATTGCCGTTAAAAATTGAGGTTTCAATTCCAAAAGGCGGCGGCTGAGCGGGGAGGGCCTCCCGGGTGCGTTTTGTTGGCGTCGCGTCTGCGGGCCGTGCCCTCCGCGGGGCCCTTCGTCCGTGTGACGGGCGGTGCTGCTGCTGCGTGACCCCTCCTGCGGCTCCGCCACCTCCCGCGGGCAGCTGTGACCCCGCACGGGGGTCGGGGGCGGCTGGGGGAGCCGGGATTGGCCGCTGCTGGGTGCGGGAGGCTGGGCGGTGCTGGGGGGCTGCTGCCACAGCGGAGATCGCCCAGCGCCGGAGATGTGGGAGCGGCACGCTGAGGTCCCCCCCGAGCTGCGGGGCTGTGATCACAAAGCTCTGGGTCCGGGCTCCGTCCCTGCTTGTATCCCTGTGATCCCGAGGGCCTGGCGTTGCTCTGAAGCTCTTTGCTTGCTTTTCTTCTCTGCAGAGCACCGTGAGTGATGCCCAAGAAGTTCCAAGGGGAGAACACCAAGTCGGCTGCTGCCCGTGCAAGGAAGGCGGAGGCAAAGGCAGCAGCCGATGCCAAGAGGCAGCAGGAGCTGGAAGATGCCTACTGGAAGGATGACGACAAACACGTGATGAGGAAGGAGCAGAGGAAGGTGGGTGGCTGTCAGGTTGCTCCTGAGGGAAGGGTGACTTCTTGCCCTCTGTCACAAAGCTGTGGCTCTGCGCACGTCGCCCTGCACTCAGCTCTGGGGCAGAGCAGCCGATGTGAGCAGCTCCTGTGGGAGCTGAAGGAGTGGAGCGTGGGGGTGAGTGTGAGTTGGGTGTGTGATTGAGGAATGCACTGATTGCAGAGCCGCCTCCTGAGGGAAGGGAGTCAGAGCTGCCTTATGGGAGCCGTGGAGTTAAGGAAATGCTCTGCAACTCTGCTGTAGGGCTTGATTTTCTTATTTGTGTTGCTTTTTTTGATCAGGCAGATCTTTTAGCTTTTTGTTTCTGTCCTTTGGATTCCATTCTTAATTTTTCCTTCTACAAAAAGAAATTCAAGAAATCAACAGAGTTTAATACGTTTTTTCTCCTCCCCAGCTCAGTGTGCCACGTATCACAATTACCTCTCAAAAAATAAGATTCTCCCTGCTTTGCTCTTAGCAGCTCACTCCACTCAGTGCACATCTGCCTCAAAAACCAGAGGAGTTCATCAGAGCTCATCTGCAGTTATTTGGTTTGCAGTGTTATCTTGCCCCAGCGTTAGACAAACTTCTGACTGCGCTCATTCTTTTGGAAGTGATTCTTGAGGGCAGCTTATCTGCCTCTTCTGAAGCAATTTGTTTGCTGTTTCGCTACCTGGAAAGGGTTTGACTGGAGATACAAACGGAATTTATGGGGTTACTGATTCTGTGCTGCTCTGTTTGGCACTGGCTGAGCTCCGTGTGCTGACTTTGGGCAGGCAGGAGGCCAACGTGTCCCCATGACCCCGAGGCTGTGAATTCCCCCCCCCGCCCCGCGGTGGGGGGTCGGGACATTGGGAATTTGGAGTCCTGGGGGCTGTTCCCCAGCGCAATCCTGTAATGCTGCTTAATTATTTCCTGGAACAAGGTCTTATTATTGCGCCTCTTAAGGGTTGGTTTTTTTTTTCCCTTTGCCAGCAGTGACCTACTTTGCTGCTCTACCAAAACAGCCTCCTGCAGGAAAAGGGCATGGGAACCTCAGCAGGGGCACTTGGGCTGTTAGCTCCGAAATTTGGGTCCAGCTCAGAGCCTCACACAAAGGCTGTGGAGAACTCAGCGCTCTGGTTCCCCCCTCAACTGCTCTGCAAGCACACAACTTGTTAGAGAGAGGAGATTGCTCAACAGGAGCTCATTCTCTCCTGTCACCTGGGTTTGGGACATCCTAGAGAAATTCAGCCCCATGTGGGAGCATCTTCCTGCTGGCAGCTCCTGGGTCTGACTTCTAGCAGAATGCTGTCTGAGTGCTTTTCCTTCCCAGGAACCTCCCGGCAACCCGTGGCTCAATGCAGCAGCAATCTGCTCTGTGGGGAGCTGCCCTGCCAGAGGGGCTCCGGTTTTGCTGGTGTTGCCGGCCCGCAAATCGCCCTGCTGGCTGCTGGCGGTGCGTTGCTGCCGATCACGGCGTGCAGAGCCGCGTCTCTCGCAGTTCTTCCCCCGGCTCTCCAGGTGATGGCAGTAACACGTTAAGCAGCAGCTCTGCGTCGGGAGCGAGTGGGCACGGCTGGAAGCCTTGGGCCATCGCCCAGCGGGACACGTGTGCAGAACAAACCGCCTTTCATCCCTTCCTCTCCCCGTGGATGGGCCTCTGAGCAGTGAATGAGAACCCAGCGCGCGTTTTTGCCTGGGGATCCATCGGCTCTGCGCGGTGGTTTTGAGGTTTCTTTAAACGCCACCCAGCTCCGAGAGCAGCCGTGGCGGCTGATCCCTGCTGGCAGGGGATGGCGCTCATTTGGTGGCTCTGTGATGCATGAAGGAACATCTGAGCTCAGCCACCAGCCCACTGTGTGTGTGTGTGTGTGTGTGTGTGTGTGTCTGTGTGTGCCTCCTCTGGCACTGCGGCACGAGGCACAGCTTGCCATCCTCCCCAGAGAGCTCTGGCTGAAAGCACAGCATCTCCGTGCCTCCCTGCTGAAAGAACCAGGTCTGATCCCCGTGGAGCTGTTTCCCCATCAGTGCAGGTGTCTCCCCCCCTGGCTCTGCCCTCCTCCACACGCAGTTCGGCTGAGGTTCAGAGCGCACGGCTCCCAGTCCTCCTGGCTGCAGCGCCTTTCCTTCTCTCCACACGATTAGCTGAAGTGTGTCTGCTTGGTGGAACGGCTGCAGACGTGTCCTGAGCGAAGCTGCAGGTGGGCTTGGAAGGCTGACAAGGCATTAAAAGCACTGAGGTGTTACAGGAGGAGGGCTGGTGGTGGATCTGCCAAGGGCAGAGGGCTTGCAGCTTGCAGTCCCTGCTGGGAAGGTGCAGTTCCCATCTCCTTCCCCAGCTCCTGCTGTCTGTCTGTGTGGGACAGCAGCCCTTCTTTCAGTTCAGGCTGCGTTCTGGCTGTGCTGTGCTTGCTGAGCTCCCTGCTGCTCAGCCCTCGCCACCTTCCTGCTCATCCAGCATCCTCGGCATCGTCCTGCGGGCCGGCAGTGACTGTGCCTCTGATTCAGTGCAGAATTACTCAGCTGTGAGCAGTGGGTCTTACTCAGATGACATGTGAAACGGGTGAAGTGACTGCTGTCCCTCCTGGGAGGGATGGCTGTGTGGTGCCAAGTTGGCAAAGCTGCAATCCTGTGGTTTAAATGAGAAACACAGGGGCAGAGAGAGAACAGAGTGAGCACCCGATGGCGAGTGCTGGCATTCAGAGCCCAGAACAAACCTCCTTTTGCTCCAGCATCACTGCAGTATTTGTGTGGGGCCTGAGGAAGGCAGGGGGTGACCCCCATCTCCGAGCCCCGCTGTGCAGCAGGCAGCCTGCAGAGCAGTGGGACGTGCTGCACGCTGGGTTTGCTTCTCTCTCTTTGCAGCTCCCTCATTTCTCTGCATCACTTTGCCTTTCTGCCATGCCAGGAGCTTGGCCAGGCTGGCAGCAGGCTCTCCGCCTTCCTCGGGGCTGCATGCTAAGAGGTTGATTGGGAGCACTGCTGCCTCTATTGACCGCTGGCTCCCGAAGCCACGTGCGTGGGACCTTGTTCTCCTCCTGTCTCGCAGGTGGGGAACTGTTCTGAAAGCTGATGAATTTCTCTTTGCTCAGGGCAATTCGGTTCGAGGCTGGAAACCAGCATTTTAACATGCAGATCCTCGTGAGCAGAATCGTCCACTTCAATCTCGCCCACCTCTCCTCCTGGTGCCCCGCGGGGCGCAGCAGCGTTGAGGGAGGAAACTGTTCATTTCTCCTCCAGTTTTCTAATAGCTCTGCTGTACTTTTCGCTTACGCAAATGCAAGCTGCCCTCTCATCGGGGCGTTTGAGCTGACTCATGTAGGATTAGTTTGCTTCGGCCCAAGCTGGGAAAGGCTTCAGGATCAGGGATGTCCATGGAGCATCGCCTGCGGGCGCAGCGGGAGCCGAGGAGTGGAAGGTCCTCCAGGGAAACCTGAGCACGCAGGGTTTGCGTGGCCTGTGACAAATTAGTGGCAGTGCTGCCTTGTTTGCTTTCCACAAATAGCAACGCCATGGCAAATGCCAGAGCAGGGAGCAGCATCTCCCAGCAGCAGGAGGGGGGAGAGGAGCGGCAGGATGAGCTGTGCGCCCTGCTCCAGCCTGATTGCCCTTCGTGAGGTGGCTGTGTCCCCTATGGGGAGTTTTGTTGGGATGGGGCTGGATGCTGGAGCGTCGTCCCCACATTTCTGTGCTGTCATCCCAGCTGGG